TGGGAGGTAAGAGTTTAAAGACAGTGGGAAGGAAAGCTCCAAAGAGGTGGTTTATAAGGAAGTAGAAGGGTCTGGGGCCCGAGCAGTGAAGGCCTGGTAAATCAGGCTCCCTGATAGTAGATGTGGCAGATACACACACACAGTTGGCAACCAGGATTACCTCTGGGTTGTTGTAGGCTTTAAATTTGCCCAGTAACTCTTAGCTAGCTTAGTATTTGGTGAAGAAATGATCTGACGCAGGGTACTGGGGATTTAAAAAAACAAAACAAAACAAAATTCAATGTCCTGGTGTGGCACTGTAGGAGCAGCACTGGACTGCTAACCGCAAGGTCAGTGGTTCAAATCCACTAGCCACTCTTTGAAAACCCTCTACAGGGTCGCTATGAGTTGGAACCGATTTGATGACACTTAGTAATAATAATGATAGCTTTTAAAAGAAAATAAAAGGACACTCATAGCCATTGTGGGTCCTCCTGAAAGCCATGGTCCTCTTCCCTATGGGAGTGAGTAATTTTCTGATGTGGCTAATTGGGAGAACCCATGCGTGAGTGTCTTGAAGGCTCCACATTGCTTGTAGAGCCTCCTTTGGTGCAGCTCAGAAAATGATTATGGTTATGTTGAGAGGGTGTTTAACTGGGGATCGTAGAACTCATTTGACATCCTGAATATTTCTGATTCAGGAGAATGTTGAAAGGGATGTGATTGTCAGGTGTTTTGTTGCAGATTGTATCCCTAAGGGAAGTGTGAGACTGGAGATCTAAGTTTTTGTTTGCTGTATGTCATCAGAGGAATGAAGTCTTATCTAGCAAGTACTTGGTCACCCTGATTTCTAGATAACTTTATTGGGATCTGTGTTAGCTTTCCATTTCATTGAAACCTTTCCTTCTCTTCCTCTTGAAAAATAAGTTCCAAAATAATAGTGTTATTATATCTTCGTCACTAAAATGTTTGTTCGTTTGTCACCATGGGCAGTTCACACAAGGCAGAAATATTAAACAGTTGGTTTTAGTGTGTTGTATAACTTTGCTGTATATCAAAACTAATTTTTACAAGTTTTCATCCTAAACCTGAAAACATGTAATTAATAATTTTGCCTGTTATTTATGACCTAATTGTGATACTTTTATTAATAAAAAGCTAATGAAAAAGGATCCTTTTATTAAGCTGATGACTAGACCCTACATTTGATTTTCCTGCAGTATCTGAAGAAGTGTTGTACCAGAGTATTAAAAGATATGTAATATTTTATTGATAAAGCTATCCTTTAAAAGGAATACATTTTAGGATGTCATCATTTTGATGTGAATCATGTAAATGTTGATAATATGCACTGTTTATTATACATTTAGTGTTTCAAGAGCTTCACTTATTTGCCTTTGCCCACGACGTATGTTATGTAGTTTATTTGCAATTGTTTAAAAAAAAAGAAGACATTAAAAGAATAGTTTATGTAGGAAAACATTAGTGGATGTTCATTGTTTCCCCACCTGTATTTATGGGTGTTAGCTCAACTGCTTTGCTAGTTGCAAAGCAGTATTATCAGAGTAAAAGTGTATTTGTAAACTGTATGGGAACTAAAAATTAGGAATAAAACCATTTTCTTATATCATGGTATCTGTCATTTACTTTATCAGAAATGTCCAGGTAAAAATGAGATTATAGGTCACTTACTCTGGTAGCGTAGTGGTTACAAATCGGGCTGTGAACCTTAAGGTCAGCAGTTCGAAACTACCAGCTGCTCTGCGGGAGAAAGATGAGGCTTTCTGCTCCCGTAAAGATTTACAGCCTCGGAAACCTTGTACAGGGTCGCTATGGGTCGGCACCGACTCGACGGCACTTAACAACAACAACGCTGGAAAAATGTTGACAATTATCAGCTCTTATATAAACAGTAACATCCAGAAGGTGGATATTATCCAGAATGTGGGAGTACTGTAGGATAAGCACTAAACTGCAAGGTCAGTTTGAACCGCAAGGTCAGCAGTTCAAACTCACCAGTTGTTCCTCGGTAATGCTATACGGAGTCACTATGAGTTAGAACTGACGCGGCAGCACATAACAACAACCAGAAGAGGAATTGAAATGCAGGATAAATGAATCAGTTCCTCAACTTTGATTGAGTGTTTACTGTATGAATAACTTTGGGAAATAGAAAAGGAAGAAGTGGAAGCATTTATGATCAAATCCTAATGTGGTGCTGTAGGATAAGCACTGGACTGCAAGGCTGATTTGAACTGCAAGGTAGGCAGTTCAAGCTCACCAGTCACTTCTCGGAAACTCTATATAGTGTCGCTATGAGTTGGAACTGACTCGACGGCACTTGACAACAACAACAAAGAATAAAAAGTGTACAATATACAGGAATTATCGAGCACATAGAACTGAATTAGTGGGATAGGGAAGTAAGGGATATTAAAGGGTACTGCCAGAGATATAAATGAATGTGTTACTGGACTTCAGCTCCTCCCTTGAGTTGGTTTAAGCCATGTACAAGTCAGGCCACTTGCTGCTTCTGACAGCAGTATGTATTCACATTGGCAGAAGGAACGGAAATTACTTTATAAATAACACAATTAGTTATTAGTTCTCTGTTGGAGTCCTTGTGTGATGCTTTGGGTAAGCCTGTACTGCTAACTGCAAGTTCAACGGTTCAACCCCACCAGTCCTCAGAAACCCTATACAGGGTCACTGTGAGTTGAAACCAACTCAATGGTACTTAACAACAACAATGTCGTAAATATAAGGAGTGACTTAAGTTACTTATTTTACACTGTAAAATACTCTTGCTCCTCACTTAGGCTCAATGTTTTAGGTGTTTAATGAACATAAATTAGCCTAGCTATCTATCCATTCAAAAGTAATGGAGATCCTCTTCCAAGACTAAGACTCAATGGGAATACACGCTGTGATTGGTGACCACACTCATCACCGATAAGGGAAAGTGAGGGAAAAACAGCAATGAAGCGGCGAGCTAAGCCCTACAACGTTCAATAGACTCCCGTGAACCCAGGTGGAGACCTGGTTGGCTAGCAATGTGGCAGGACCTGGGGACTCTTGGGCCCAGAGTCAGTGACAGCCACAGATGACTATAGAATGGAGAGTGAAGCGT